TGTGTGAGTGTGTGTGTGTGTGTGTAAGTTCAAGTATCTCACATTTTCTTGCAGAAGAATTTACAATCATAAGATATGAGTAGAAATTGAATAACAAGGTCTATGTCCAGATATTAAAAAGGAATAATAAAACATTTCATTAACTCGTGAAAAAATCACATTCGTGATTTGGGATCATATTTGATCATTCTAACAATATAAACGGAAAAAAGAATTTAGCTCACAGTTGCTAGCAATGAAGTATATCGTTAACAATAAAATATTCCAATTCAAATTGACGAGGAGTTTTTTAGATGATAAAATCTCAATTGTATACATCAAACAGATGTGAACATGATATACTTTTTGGTATAGCATACACAAGAGAATATAACAGGGTAAAGTACCAGGACTTAAACAACTCAGTCAACACACAAGATTAAATTTGCAAATCACAACAGAGAAGAATAGAAAACGACAATACAAAACAAACACACAAATTGGAACGATACAGTAGGGCAAACTCGAAATTTACCATATAACAGAACTCTAGAGAAAGTACTAAATGAGGACCCTCTATAGAAAATATTCCACCAATTAGTTCTCTCGTCTTCACTTGGAATCTCCACAGCTAAGAACTACTCAAACAACATAAACAAGTCAAGTAAGAATCCTTGTTTAACCTCAGGGAAAATAAAAAACGCATATTTTTCATTGGTTTGTCGACTTTTANAAAAAAAAAAAAAAAATAGTAATTAGCAATCAATACTTAGCAGCATATGTCAGTCAGCTTGCATTTCTCTAGCAAGATGAATTTTGGGCAACAAGAATTAAAATAAAACCTGAAACAGAGTGGGAATGAAGGGGAAAAAGGCAGACGGCAAAAGAGTAGAGAGCTAAGATAACTTGATCAACGTGCTTCGCGTCATTTACCGAGGAGACGACCAGTCCGACTTTCTCCAGCACTCTTCTCTCCAGTTCCCTCCTGTTCTTCTGTGAGGTCTTGACTCCATCCATTGCGAGTTTAGACACCCTAGAGAAAGCATATACACCGAATGAATGAAGAGAAATTCTGGAGAAGCACCAAGCACATTGACCAGAATAAACAGTTTCTAAAGTTAATCCAGAATAATAAGTTAAAGTTTTAACCCTAAAAAGTGTGAAAGCATTATGCGATAATTATGCGAACAATCGTCTGAATGACATTGTGCAAAAATTAAAAATGGTTTCTCATAACTCTTCGCAAGAGAATATGCGACAGTTATCCGAACTAACTTTCACATTTTTCGAGGTGAAAAAATTAGATTATTTCAATTTACCAACTAAATCCTAATTGTAGGACTTTGAGCAAATAGCCTACTTTTTCTTATTATTTATTCACATTTTTCGTGTTGCGGTTGCATTAGACGTGGCCAGGGTTGACCCGGACCCACAAACCGGGTGACCCGAGGACCGGCAGGTCTCATCCCGGTAAAAAAAACTCGAAAAAAATAAAAAAAAAAAATTCAAAAAAATCCCAAAAAAAACACCTATAATTATAGTCTCATTTTGGGATCACAACTTTGCTCGGGCTGCTGGATTTGCATGCCTTTTTCCAGGTATTTTAGATGGCCCGATCACAAGAAAATCAAAGCTAGTTTGTTTCAAATCATGCATTCTATTTGAACCAGAAAAAGCACAAGTGTATTATATATGTATAGAACTCTGACCACAATCGGTCAAAACCGAACCGAACCGGCCAACCTTCAAATATTTATGGTTCGGTTCGGTTCCAAATCGAAAATCCGTCGACTGGGTCGGTTCAGTTATCCGACAAAATGGAGAAATGAACAAAGAGCACCCATCCACTGTCATAATTTCAATGCTTCAAAGAAGAACAAAGAACAAGAAACAAAGAGGAGCCATATTTCAAAGTCTTGCGAAGAAGGAAATCTTGAACCTGAGGTGCAGCCGTACGAGGGAATTTGAGTGGGGAACACATTTGAGAAGACGGGACGAGCGCCAACCTTCAGAGGGTCAAGTGAAGTGTGTGCGGGAGCGGGAGCCGGAGCGCGACGACGATTTGGGATTTCAGAGCGCCGCCGGCGATCGGAGACTCAGAGTGCGTGACTGTGTGCGGCGGAGACGATGTTAGGGTTTACTCATTTTCGACTTTTCGTTTATGACTTGGGAAATTGTTGGTATTGGTAGACGAGATGACAGATGAGGATGTACCGATGAGAATTGACAATTGAGGAGCAATGGGAGATTGTTGGGACTGGGAGTGGAGATAGCAAATGACGATGACCCGGTATTGAAGAGCAATAGGAAATTGGGTCTGGGACTCTGGGGATGAAGAAAAAAAAAAGGCGAAGGGGCGCTTTATTATAGAATAATTTGTTCAAGATGTGTTATTTTTGTTAACTATAATTAATTTAGAAAAAGATGATATGGTTAGTTGTTAGTAAAATTTTAAAAATATATTAAAATAATATTTAAAATAAAATGATTAAAATTGATTTGATGTAAAAGTAAGAGATAAATGATTGAAAATGTTTAGGAATGATAGGTAGTTAAAATTATGTGAGTGGATGAATAGTGAATTAAAGTTGATGTGATGCGATTAGTTTGTATAATTTAATTATATGAATAATATTAAAGATAGTGGGGTTAGGTTAAAGTTGAGTTAGATTTTGAGTATGAATTGAATTAGAATGAAATAATTTATAAACAAGCATGCCTAAAGGACGTTACTATACTCCTCCAAAAAAACTTCTCCCAAAATACGATCATTTGAACACATTTCAATTTTTGTGTCTCTAAATATTTTCTATTTGAAATCGATCATCTTTCCTTCCTTCTATGAACCTTTTAGTTTATTTATAGTTTACCTTAAGTTTATTATATTATTTTTATAACTTGAATCTTTTGGTATTTCTCAAGTTTATTATCTATTTCTTTTACTAAATCACGACAAATAATTTGACCAAAAAAAATATATATATATAAGATAAAATATATTTTTAGTTTATTTATAGTTTACCTTAAATTTATTATATTATTTTATAACTCGAATCTTTTGGTATTTCTCAAGTTTATTATCTATTTCTTTTACTAAATCACGAAAAATAATTTGACCAAAAAAAAAACATATATAAGATAAAATTAAATATAATGGTTTATCTTAAGTTTATTATCTATTTTTCTACAAAATCATGAAAAATAAATTGACAGAAAAACCAAAACAAAACTACATATAAACTACAAATAAAAAAATAATAATTATTATAATCTAACCATTAATAAACATCAATCTAATTCTCAAATGTTCGAAAAACAATTATATTACATAGCAATACACAAAGCAAAATTTTCCATTGCCTGGGTACCAAAGTAAAAATATAAATAAATAAATCACTAGAACAGTATAAACTATTTCTCATCCAAAAATAAACCAAAACATATCACCTTTATCCGAATCTTCACCACAGTAGTTTTTAGCCGTCATCCATACAAGATTGCTTAGCCCCGAATCTAGTAGTCTACTGTTAGACCTTGCACCAAGGTGAGGATTTTGCTTGGCTTGAATTTTTAATCACAAAAGATGGTGGAGACTGGTGTTTGACCTGGGATTTGATAGTCATTCACGATCTTGCTCGATCTAGATCTGATAGTGCTTGGTTTCGGATCTGATAGCCGATGGCGGTGTGGCTCAACCGGATCTGATAGCCGGCGACAATAATTGAAAAATATCAACGAATAAAATAAATAATTAAAACCTAATGTTGAACTACAAAGAGAGGGAAAAGAGATCATAGATGTTCAGAGATGAAAATAAATTAGAAAGAAGAAGAGAAATTTTCTCTGTCGGCGATGCAAGGGAAAAAGTGAGGAAGGGAAGTAAGATAAAGAGAACAAAATCCAATATTTTATTTATATAATGTAGAGAGGAATAACAAAGTTCAGAATTCATATGATTGGATACAAAAATTAAATATCATATTAGGAGAAATAAAACTAGGGTTGAACGTCCTGTAGGTAATTATCTCAAAAAAAAATTGAGAAGGAATGGGGGATTGGGTCTGCCTTGTGGCGTTGGGCCGTGGGTGGGTAGCATGTTAAGTTAGTGGCCAAAATACATAACTAACCTCGTTATCAAAAATAATTCTATATAAATAATGGCATATATAGAATTCCAATAATACTCCGATAAGTAGTTACACCAATTCATAATTCAACTGCTCTCTTTGTCTTATTTCCTTGTCACTCCTAACAATGTCTTCTTTCCCTCTCTTCCTTCTCACTCTTACTCCTCGGTTTTCTTTCTTTCTTCTTCAATTATCTTCTTCCCTTCTTCTTTTTCTTCTTCTTCAATTATCTTCTTCTTCTTCAAACATGAATGTGTAAGGATAAAAACAAAAAAACAAAAAAAAAAATGATTAATTAATTGATTATGTACATACATTATAATTAAATCAACTAAAACGCAAAAAAAAATATCAAATTAAAATTAACAACAACAATAATAATAAAATATAATACATACACACAAATTATACCAATATTGATGAATTATGAAGAAGTCAAAAACATTTGATGTAACAAAAAAACAAGAACATAACAACAACAAATAAACAACATGAAACATTTGATGCAACAACAAAACAATAACATAACTACAACAAATAAACAACAAGAAAATAACTATTACTGCAGAATTCAAAGCCCTTGCAAGATAGTTATGAACTATTACTGCATAAGCCTTGGATTAAACATGCACGATTTGTTCACCACATAGCTTCAGATTAAATGCCCCATTGATGATTTGATGAACTAAAATGCTAGGAAGGCCAATTGATATTGGGCTGGGCCCTATAAGAGAAAAATCAATTGGGAGCCTCATGATTGATTAGTTGAAGATTAATTTATTATTATTATTTTTTTTTTTTTGCACTTAGAGGTGACGCTGAGAGGGAGAGAAAAATAGGTTGCTACTTAGCAATGAAAAAGAGATACATAACAACATGAAAACAATACCTCGAAAATTCCTTCTCTTTATTTCCATCTTCTTCCTCAAAACACCATAATTTCAACGGCCATTAATGTGACAGAAGTTGTTCGACACCATCTCGTTGTAGCTGGCTGCTCATCCGTTCTTGCAAAATTATCTCGTTGTATTTTCTGCTCGAAAAATTCTTCTGTCTAAAGATTCGGAATATGGATCTGGGAAAGTTTTTTGGATGTGGATTTGAGAAAATTTTTTGTCAAGTTAGATCTGATAGAAAGAGAAGATGACTATTTCTCGTGATAAATAAGAATAGAAAAAAAGAAAAGTAAAAAAACAAAAATAATAACCGCTGTTTAGAGTAATGGAATACACCACTAGCTATTGCAATTAAAGAATAAAATATTTTCGAAAGATATACAGTGTCTTTAATTCTAAGTTAGGCGGCAACAACTTAAAGATTGATGAGATAAAAAAGCCTAGTTTTATTTCTCCTAATACGATACTAGTACATAACCCCGTGCGATGTACGGACTGTATTTTTTTTGGTAAAATTTAAAATTGAAGGCTATTAATCAATAAGTTATAATACATAGAGTATTTGTTAGGTAATCGTAATATGTTCATCATTAAAAAATCATGCATTATTATAAACCTCTATTTTTCTATGCAAAATTATTTTGCACTTGGCAACCGTAAATCGATATTTACCAAGATTGTTGTCCACTTGATAATTGCGAATTGCATAGATACCTCATTCCTTCAAATTTTTTGTTGATTTGTGAAATGTTACCACCATGAAATAAAACTATAGTGAAAATATATAATATTGTGATAAATACTAAAGATATGATTTATCTGGTGAAGTTTAATTTTATATAGAATATAAGAAAAGTTGTTACCTTAAAGTGTGAATTTTGAGTATATCTTTTTTTTTTCAATGATTTTCATTTTATATGCCAAATTCATTCCAATATTAAGAACAAATTTTGTTTTGTTATGTTTTAATAGAGATTTAGAAATTTGATTGTATCTTTTGTAAAACAACATTTACAAAAAATAATTACGTTAAAAAAACAACGGTATTTTATCATTTGTAGTTCAAAACTAACTAAAAGAATCGGAGGACATGTAAATCACGGTTTTTAAATGAAAAAAATATTTCATAAATAAATTGATAAAAAAGAATGATTCAAAATGATAAAAAAATAATAGTGATATTATTGTTGACCACCGACTTGGAAATTATTATTATTCGGTGGTAAATGTAGTTAAACATCTAGTTGAGGCGTCAGAGTATATCAAAGATGGTCCTCTTGAAATGAAAATCACTTATGATGTCTAAATCACGCCATTCCATCGATTACCGAAGTGAAGTTCCCACCGACCTCAGATTACTAACCGACTTCTCAAGATTTCACCAACATCAAACCAACGATCCTCTCCTCCTCGGAACAGCCTGAGTTCCTTGTCCTCGGAACCATCTTACATTTTGTGCCCAAAACGTCATCATGATTGTGGGACCAAACCACCCATTTGGGGTTACCTTTTTGTATAAGTTTTTCATTATTGGAGTAAAACGTCATCATGAGTGTGGGACCAAACCGCCCATTTGGGGTTACCTTTTTTGTACAAATTTTGCATTATTAGAGTAAAATTATTGGATGTCCCGAAGGACGTGTAAGGAAAAAGTTACTATATATAGCCTGATAGACCCTCAGTAATGGGGTTTTTTTTTTCGAAACTGTGGTACAAGGACCACTTCGGTTAATATTGCCAACTACTCCATGATCAATAAAGATTTGTGTGTTAGTCTTAATTATTGTTTCTAATAAAACGTTATTACGTTGAGTGTGTTGTTATAATTTCATACGACAACAGTTTGGCGCTAGAAGGAAGGCCTCATCATCTTTTGAGGTTAATCTTCGGTGTACAAAAGAGCGTCGCTATTCTGCCACTGTGTTATTACATTAGTAGTTCAAAATATGTCGCAATCAGGACAAGATCCTCTCACGACTGGTGAACCTACACTCAATCCCAGTCCACTTACAAGACAAGTTACCACCACCCCAGCAAATCAATCTGCCGGACGTCTCACTAATATCCTGGTGACACCAGAAATAGCAGCACTCCTACAAAATCCAGAAATTGCGAAGGGGATAACCGCGTTGTTGGCCCAGGTGATTCCCAGTATGTCACAGATCCCTCCGGGACCAGGAACCAGTCCAGTCGACAACGCCAGGCAGCTGCAGATCATACCCCCACTTCCTCAAGAGGATATTCCTCCGGCAACGTCACACGCTACGTGTCATCCACATAATACTAATCATCAAGGACCCCCGGCGGGATTACTACCACCACCA